TACTAACCACATCTGATAGCGTCTTCTTTACATAGGGTCATTTACATCTTACTAGTAAAGAAATAATCTCCTGCTGGGTTATCTCCTAAGCTGTGCGAGCGTGGAGCTGGGTGAGCAGCGTTGCCGGTGCGGAGGAGAGGTGCTGATCCATTCTGGTGGATCCACTTGGACCAGAGCTTAGGCAAGTGCGTCTGGGCAGCTGGAAAAGCATCCGGTTACTCATTTCAGATCAGGAATATGATTGTGTTTGTTTTGCCTCTGGCCTGTTTGCTGTCCAGCAATTAAAAACTTGACCTCGAGTCTATCTTGATTCTTCCCCTTTATTTTGTTGTTAAGCTTGTATAGTTTTGTGAGGGCCAAGGCTCACTGGGGTGCAAAGAGTGCATTTAGTTTGTTATTGGAGGGGGTGAATGCAAGTAAAGTCCCGTGTGCTTTGTGCCTCTCGGGGCACGTTTCTTTCCCACAGCGCCTCGAGGACAGGCAGTGCCACTAAATGTTGAGTTTTGGGAAAGGAGGTTTTCTGCAGAGAGCAGACAGGTGAAAGGTGCCTTGTGGTTCTGAGTAAAATCATAAAACAGTGGTTGCACGTGGTATTTTGGCAGAGAAAAATAAAACAACACCCTGTTAACGTAACACATGCTCTTGTTGACAGATACATTTTGAAATGGAGTGATAGAAGGGATGACCGTATGTTTTCTAGTATGATAGTAGGGATTGAATCTTGCTCCTGTATCATAGTTATTGGTGATCTGAAAGAACCACTTTCACCTTCTTGGTGTCCTTTTCTGTCTCCTGAATGATTTCTTCCATCAGAGACACAAGTTTCATGTTTCCTCTCATTTTCTAACCTCTCTACTTTCTTCATGGCCCTGTCTCTTGGAAGACAGTTTTTGATTTTAGAGTGGGTTGTTTGGGGTTTTTTTTCAGTTGGCTGTTAGGCACTGTGACATATGTAGATGGAAGTTTCTTGTAAAACATGAATCTTAAGACTTTTATCATAGGGAAAACTTTGTTGTGTTGGTTAACCCCTGCTGGAAATGGGTATTTGATAGCAGAGGTCAATCATTCCATTGCTGTCAGGTGTACAAAGGTCTAGAATATAGAATGCTAAACCTAGATTGCTGCAGTCTAAAAATAATTTTTAGATGAGGGCTGTTATCCCGTCTAACAATTTCTGGCACGCTGTTGTTTGTTCTGTGTGAGTGAAGATGTTGAATCAAGACTAGGTGTTTATTAAGAAATAATAAGGTTTGCTCCTGTTCTGCCACAGCTGTTAGTCTCAAGGTGATCATCACTTATCATAGTTTTTTGTAACTTCAGAAGTTCTGAATCTATTCTGTAATTTCTAAAGATAAAAGGTTTGGGAAAACTTAGGAGGTGCTGGTGTTTAAACTGTGTATGTGTAGAGAGAACAATTTGAAGACCAGATATTCAATCTGTGTTTTCGCTGATGTAAACTTAAAACAATTTAGTCATTAGTAATTGAATAAATATAAAATGTTTTGCAGTAAATTAATGTGAAGTTTGCCTCAGGTTTTGTAGTATTTTTTGGAAGTGATAGAAACTGGAAGAGTCCTTCAGAAGAACTATTAATCTGAAGTCTTTCAAAAGCTGACTGGTTTCATTTTTGGCCTCCAGAAGCAAAAATTTAAGGCATTTATTTATTAGTAAATAATAGAATATTTAGGGTATTGATGGCACTTTTGTTTATACAGTAACATCTGTTTCTTTGGAAATAATTAAAAAATTATCTTTCTTACTATTATTAGAACAATGATGACATCTTTTGTAATCGAAGAAAAATAAAATGGCAGTTGACAGAGCTATTACTGCAACAGTTGTTATGACATCTTTTGTAGTTGATGGAAAATAAAACTGCACTTGACACAGCAATAAAATATTTTTATAGTTTTGTTTTTAAAGTATGTATTATGCAAATATTGCAGGGGGGATGTGTTTGGTTTTTTAAGAATCTAAAATCCTGAGAACAAATAAAAAATGAAAATCAAGTAGACTATTTTACTAGTTGAAAAAACAGAAAGCTAGAATATGTTCTGAATTTGGAAATATGAAAGTAAGTAATAAATTACTAATTGTAACTTTTTCTTTAAGTAAGATAATAGTTGCATTTTTAGAATGGAATTTTTTTTCAAGTATTTGTAGCTTGTTTGTCAGCAGGCACCAGCTATGTTCCGAGTGCTGTAAGAGCAGCATTGCTTTAGAGTAAAGGAGAAGTCTTACAAGTGTTCTGCAGACTACAGCTGTAAGCTGAGCGGTGAAAACAAGAGAGGAACAGTATTTTCAGTAGTTTGTCCTTTTTGGAGTAAGGGTTTATATATGATTCAACTTTATAATAATAATTTCATTGCTTTCATTCCACTTTGATGATCCATGGTCGCGCTCTGTTCAGAGAGAAACGTTATCTTCAGTAGTGATGACAGTTCAGTTTGGGTGTTCAAGGACTGGCTTCATTGCGCTTTGCACGTCTGTGTCACCACGTGGATTATCATTCCTATCAAACAGCATCCACCAAGTCAGAAAACTAAGAATCTAGTTTTTGGCTATGGTAATATTGTGGTGGAAAGTTGAGTGTGAATTTCTGTTTGTTTGTTTGTTTAATATGAACCTACAACCTAAGCTTTTTGCCCAGAACTACATTGCTTGTGTTCTGCAAAATATTAGCATTTGATGTAGCTTGCAGTAGATTTGTCTGCTCAGCGAGGTGGTGATTGAGGTGATGATGACTGTTGTTTCTTCTTAACAGCTGTGTGTTCAGAGGCACCTGTGCATGAGGAGAAGTTTGTTCTATGGCCTCAGAGCTGGGTGCTAGGGAGGATGGCAGCTGCTCAGAGCTGGCAAAACCCCTTTATCTGCAATATCTGGAGAAAGCTTTGCAACTGGATCAGTTTTTACGACAGACGTCTGCCATCTTTAACAGGAGTATATCCAGGTACCAAAACCTTTTCCATTTTCCATTGGGAATACCAAGGAAAGACATTTTTCTTATATTGTTCCTAGGCAACACCGTATTAAGGACTTAGTAGTGAGTTGTTCATTATAAACTTTTCTCCTTTAAAGACTTTGCACTCTCCTTCTGGTAGCTCACACTGATAATTCAGTGTGTTGCCAGCCCCAGTACAAATTATCACAATGTTTTAAAGCTCTTTTTCGTAGCTGAGTGCCCAAAACTTTCATTTTCTGCAAAAAGTAGGATGAAGAAGCACTAAGTTGATTTTTCAGGGACATAGCCTATAGCCATAAGTGAAATGCAAAGGCTATTGTCACATTGAGAATTTGTATGGAAGTAAGTTGTAGCAATGAGAACTGAGTCATCAAGGTATGTTTCTGTCTCAAAGCAATTTACATTTAATTTCATCAGTGTTTTGGAATTGTAGGGTTACAGAGCTGATAACTGTATGGATAATAGATAGCAGGTGTATTTACAAGCATGTAATAAGATCCGCACAAGGAGTCGGAAAAGCATAGCTTTACATTTCTCACTTGTACAGTGGTGCTGAGGGTGACAATACTGTGCTTTGGTTTTTCTTGATACTAGTTTCTTGATTATTCATGCTTGTCAAATTAGATACCTAGTTAGTCTGAAGGTGCAGGTTGACAACATAGCCAGGCTGGTCTGATGATTAACTACTGCTGCGAGGTTAAGGTGAGGTTATTGACAGCAATATTTGTAATGTATAAAATTACATTGGGAGCCATCTCAGTTCTCACACCTTTAGACAAAGGGCCACATCTAAGGAAATTGTATGGGCATCTCCTCTTTTGAATATTTTCCTTTCATTGTCACCATATTACATATCTTTTTTGCAGCGACGAAAGCGAAGATGGATTGGATGACAATCCTTTGCTGCCCCAATCTGGGGATCCCCTGATGCAAGTCAAGGAAGAGCCTCCAAACTCTTTGCTTGGGGAATCTTCTGGAGCAGGGAATTCCGGGATGCTGAACACACATTCCCTGAATGGAGTACTGCAGCCAGGTAGGAATGCACTAGGTTGAATCTCTGCTTTCTTTGGGTAAAGCATTATTTCTTAAGAACTTTATTTTCTTTTTTTTTTTTTTTTCTCTGAACAGAACCAAAGTCTGAAAAAGGGAGCTTGTATAACTTTTCCAAACTGAAGAAAAGCAGAAAGTGGCTGAAGGTAAGAATATTGGAAAGAAATGCAGCTATTATGAAATCTGTGAGTAGAGTCCCAGTCAACACCCTGTAGACGGTGGTGAGTGATTCCATCTTGTCATCTGATGTAGATCATGGTGTAGAAACGTGTAAGCAAGCAGATGACAACAAGGAAATGAGTTGAACACTGGTCAGAGCTTTATCACAAATTATCACAAATACAATTTCCAAATACAAGAAGTTTGTTCTTATCTCAAGAGTCCATTTAATTTTACTTCACACGTACTACTGAGAGCTCAGAAAGCTAGACTAATGTGATGCAATTTCACATGCAAAATCTCACGCTGAAAAAGAGGTGATACAGAGATGTGGCAATGTTTTGTGTCGCTGAAGAGGGCACCAAGTGAATTCTTTAGTCTTCTCCTGTGTTGGCTTACTGTTTGCACTGTTTTTTGAGGTAATTGGAGCTTGTGTCCCTTGCTAAGAAGAAAGGAATGTTTTTTGGGGTTTTGTTGTTGGTTTTTTACATTAAGAAAAAAACACTTACCAAAGCAAAACAATACATTCTACAGAGGCTTCTCATCTCAGAAATGGAAAGAAAGAAGAATATGTGATGGTTTATAATGAATATTGTATTAGACTTTAGGTAGAACAAAATAGAATTATAGTCTCTGTAGATTTGTGGCTTTAACTTTCATCATGTGACAAGATGGACAGTAGGCATTTCAATTTTGGTGAGCAGCAGCATTTTAGTTAAATTTCAGTGAGTATGCATCCAGAAACTTGAAGTAGTTTTAGTACGCTGTCCAAATTCAAGTGAGATATTATGAAATATATTAAATAGACTTTTGGAACTCGGCTGAAAATTTGTTTCTAAGATGAGCTCAGTACAAGGTCCAAATGAGCATGGAAGGAGAGAGTGGAAAGGTGACTTTATGCCATCTTTGCATTTTCATTGTACTGTAGCCTTCTCTAGTTAGCAAAAACAGGTTGTCAAGGAGTCGGATAAGAGCCAAACCTCCTACAACTGATGCAGGTGGAAGTGATAGAATAGCAGGACAAACTACAAATGGGGTAGGAAGGCATCTGCAACCATACATCACAAAATGCCCCTACTGGTATCCTGGATTTTCTTACTGCTAAAAAGAGCATTCTGAGACAACAAAAAGATGAAATGAATTCTAAAATGACTTAACTATCGCCAAACTAACAGAAAAGTACCTCCCTCCAAATCAGAAAATGTGTATTGGATTCACTGCTGCACAGTACTGTACCTCAGAAAACTGTTTTCCATTTGAAGTGTTTCAGATGGAAGACACTTTTTAAATGCTAAGTATTGAGACAGACCCGCAGCCATTTATTAGGTAAAGGCTCAAGAGTGCTTTGCATAAATAAACACCTCAGTATAGGGACTTGTGATTGTTAAATTATCTTCCATTTGTTCTTGTTAGAGTATCCTTCTGAGTGATGACTCCAGTGACACAGATTCACCAAGTGATGAAGACGGAGAGGAGGAAGAAGAATTTTCTCTTTCAAGGGAGGAACTTCACAATATGCTGCGATTGCACAAATATAAGAAACTGCATCAAAGTAAATATAGCAAAGACAAAGAGGTAAAAATCCAGAATTTTTCCATTTCCTTGATTTTTATTCTTTCCTTTGACTGTGTTTTTTTAACTGCTCTTATGTTTTTCTGAAAAACCGTAATATTTTGTGGACTGGTAAATATCCTGTTGTTTGGTAGACTAGAACAATCTTAACATCGGTTTCAGACAAGGGTTCTTGAATTAATTACCTACAGACTGAAGAGCTGTTGATGCCTTATGCTGAGAATCTGTCAGTAATTTATGTAGCTGGTACTGACACATGTGTTATATATAGCTTTCACAATGCTCTGTCCCAGTCACTACAGCAAATATAGGGTGCTAGAATGCAAGATTTGGATAATATACATGAAAATGGAGGTGCTGTGGGTTAAATTCTAATACAGGTAGTAGCTGTTGTTCAAGACCAAAATTGTATGTTTAAACCTAAAGCGCCTTGAGGTTGAGGTGACAAATAGTAAGGTGATGTTTACCTTCTTGAAAGGGTGTTCCTAGTTTTCTTCCTCATTGTTTTCTGTTATTCTTTCTTACATTTCTTTCCTTATTTTGTGTTTTCTGCTCATATTCTTTTTCCCATCTTACAAGGAAATAGTCTGCCACATTTCTGCGTTTTTCTTGATATCAGGCCAACTTCTACGACTCTTTTAATTCTAATAATATATTACTTCAAATTATAAGGGCTTTTGTAAAAATTATTTTCATTGCTGTTTTGAATTGCACCAGGAAGTACTCTCAGATGAAGGAAGTAATCCTCTTCTGCTGTCAGAGGATGTGTCTGAAATTAAAATTTGTCATCTTGTTTCATACTCTTTTGAAATTTTTCCAGAAGAGTGGAGAAATAATTTTCCCACACAGGTCTTTATTTCTGTCCACTTCTTTCCTTTGCTTACTTGTTAAGTTCTAAACCAAGATTGTGTTAGCTTCTTGAAATACTACATAACTATACAGATATTCATACTCCAGATTTTTACACTGGTTATAACTTCACACAAATACGCGTTTCCAGACTAGTAAGAAATAATATCCAGTGAAAATAACCATGGTATTGTCAGATGAGCACTACATAGTTATGAGGGGGGGAAAACACATTTGTCCAAAGAAGTTTGTTTATGTTGATGTTCTCACCTTTCAGAAATCTTTTATTAACTTAATAATATGCTTAGGTTTTAAGTAGTTAATTTTGGACCTGTGCTGACTTTAATTTGCTTGTTTATATGTAACCTGTGTATAGTTCTTTAATATTTTAGTTGAATAATGCTTGGAACATACTGACTTCTTTGGTAATTTGGGAAAAATGCTGAGACAGCTATATTTTTACTTGATAACCTGAATGTTCAAGCTGTTTGTCCTTGTGGAAATCTTTTAAATGCCTTTTATCTAAACCTATCCTTCAACATCCTTTGGAATTACCAACTAGAACACGTAGGTGATTTGGGAATGCAAGCAAAACAAATAGGAGGTCCGTGATTAGACCACTTAAAGTAATGTGCTGTCTTGCTGGGCAATGCCTGTATGGAAAAAATACAGCAGTATGTTTTGAAAGTGTAAACTTCACTGCCTGCTCTTCCCCTCTTACTTAGCTGGGTGGGTTTGGCTCCCTGTGTAGAACTTGGAGGCCACCTCTGGAGCAGTGTTTTCACTTTAGACATTGTATGATGCTTGATAATAGTGCTAAATATGGAGAAGTGCATGTTTTCTGATCTCTTATATATGATCATGATCTGAACTTGTTTACCTGCTGTCTCTGTTACCTGCTCTATTTGTTTTCCATTGCTGTGCTCATTTACATCCCTTCAGTTGCAGCAATATCAGTACTACAGTGCAGGGCTGCTGTCTACTCACGATCCTTACTACGAGCAGCAGCGCCACCTGCTAGGGCCCAAGAAAAGGAAGTTTAAAGAAGAGAAAAAATTAAAAGGTAAAGTCACTAGCCTTGTGTTTTTAAATGGCTGCTGTGATTAAACTTCTTTCCTACATTATTTCCTTTGAATAAATGTAAATGTTCAAAACTCCCGGGTTTTGCATGGAAATTACCAGTTCTGTCAAAGCAAAAAATCTTCAGGAAGTACTTTTCACTTCTGGCTTCTAGAAAGCTAGGGTGAAAAAAAGGAATGTGAATTGAGAGTTCATGGCTTTAGGTTTTCTTTGTGGACCTCTGAATCTAGAATGAAAGAGTTATGCAGTAACTAACTTATAGCTTTATCCATTGTTTTGGAATCCATAAATATAATTGTATATCGTGGTCCATTTACTCAGTTTTTTAAAAACATAATATTTCCTTGAAAAATGTAAGAACTTATCCAGTACCTCATTCATTCCTGAATATGTAATTCTAGTGAACAAGAAATTATAGGGAGTGAAAGTTTTTTCTGGAAATTAGAGGGAAGTCAGAATTGGTATCGAATGTGAGTTAAAATAGAATTACTTCTGTAACCTCTCAGCTGCATGTTTGCCAGGAAGTACAGTTTCCTTTTCTTGATTGAGCTCGCAGCAGCTCTAAATCTGTAAGGAAGCAGGAAGAGTAGGCTGTGAACTGTCAGCGTAAGGTAAATTCTCACTAGTGCAAGCACTTAAGTTTGAGCTGTGTTTCAAGGGAGCTATTTTGGGCTTCCTTCCTTCCTATCTTTCTGCAAGTTCCTTTAACTGTATGGGTTTTTTTTCTCCACTAATCTTGAAGCATCCATGGTTTTGCATACTCACAAAGAATATTTTTAATATCTAATACCAGTATCAGTTTCCTCTGAAAGCTGGTATCTGTAATGCATGATAACATGACAATCTCTTTCAGCTGCTGAGAGGTTTGGCTTGAGACTGATCCTACCAAATGCTAATGTTGTTACCTTTAAATGTCTTACCTTTACATACCTTTAAATAGAATTTTACTACGAAGCAGGAAACACTGCACGAGGTCCCAGACATTAACTCCTAAGGCATGTTTCTCTGGGTGGAAAACTTGGATCTCACCACTCTATTTATTAAATAGGAGAATCTTTCAATTAAAAAGTAATGAGGAAATATCTAATATGATAAATGGATGGTACTAGAATTAGCAAACATGGATAAGTTTGGCTTTTTTGTTGGTTCTACACATAAATTGACTAGGATAGTTTACTCAGGAAAGATACTTCACTAAATGTATCTCAAAAATAGAAAAAGAAATACATTTTTATTATTGTTGCCACGCAGGCAAGTTGAAAAAAGTGAAGAAAAAGAGGAGACGGGATGAAGAACTCTCTTCAGAGGAGTCACCACGACGTCACCATCACCAGACCAAAGTTTTCGCCAAGTTTTCTCATGATACACCACCACCTGGGTCCAAGAAAAAGCATTTTACTATTGAGCAACTTAACGCACGTCGGCGGAAAGTGTGGCTTAGCATCGTTAAAAAGGAGCTGCCAAAGGTGAGCTTGGCTAATGGCACTAGATCAGTGATGATGGCAAGAAAGTGAAATAGAAAATTAACTTAGTGGGGAGTTGACACTTGGAAAAGCAGACTGAAGTAAGACCTGATTTTTCTGGTGGTCATTAATGACCAAACTGATATTCTGTAATCCATAAGCAAAGTGTGGTTCAAATTTCTTACCACTAATGATATCTAAGTGGATCATGCAGTGCTTTGCCACTGCTTTAATTAGGCTGCCCAACACTTTTCTGTGAATAGTACAGCAAACTCTGGTAGGTACTCCTACTAATCTACAGGATAGCAATGTAGAGCAAACCAATATCTAGGGTTTACATAAAGTTCAAGAAAGGAGTGTTTCAATCATTGTAGCATGTGTATTTTTTTGAAACTTACTTCAAAAACAACCTGGGGAAAAATGTTGGTGTTATTTAGAGGACAAGCTTCAGGCCCATTTGAAATAGAAAGCTGGGTGCACTATCACTAGTTCTCTGAGGTGTGATCAGAGTTGACCTTACAACCTGCTTTTTGGAGTTCACAGTTAACAGACTTTGAATTCTAGGAAGTTGAATATGAGCGATGGCTATAGCGTCCTTTCTGAACTTACAAGCCAGGCAAAGGATATGTGCAGTGTGATAGACCTTATTTTTTCAAGAGACTGATTTTGATCATGTGAAGAACATAAGATCTACATTAATTCTGAACGTCTTTGGGAAACAGTGGAAATGTTTGTCATTTACTTCAGTGATAACGGTGGAATAAGAGAACCTTGCTTTGCAGTAGTTAAAGAAATGATCCTGAAAAAGAAGGTGTTTTACATGCTCCCTTCAGGAGTTGGAATACATTTGTGTATGCCTTCAATAATTAAAGATGAAAAACTGTTTTAGTCAAAATAAAAAATACTTGCAATACTTATACCCAACTATACAGTAGTGTGCATGGCTGAGGTTGGCACGTGTATCTGCTGAAGCCTGGATAGTGATCTTATAAAATACTGTGAAGCCATTACCCTTTAACTAATTTTAAGATGTTATTCTTTTATAGGCATACAAGCAAAAAGCTTCAGCCCGCAACCTTTTCTTAACAAACAGCAAAAAGGTAAGTGTTGTTTGGCTTTATAGTGTTACTTGTAGTGATGTAATAAGCAAACTGTAACCTCTTTATGTTTCTTCTGTTACTTATAATACTGACTGTACTAGCAGCACAGTATAGGAGAAAGCACTGTGTAGAAGTAATTTGTCATTTAGTTTGAGGCTTTTTATTTTTTAGATATGTCATTTTGGCATGTTTCATAAACAACAGATGAAACAAGCAACATGAATTTATTGTATGAGATCATTTTGGCTTTCATAGGACTTAGTTTGTACATTTTATGTTTATTGATCTTTAATACACTAAGTTAATTACTTCAGTACGCTTTGGCTTTTGAACTGCCCATCTATCCACTAGCTAGAATTTGCTGGTTTAAGCATTCCTGTTTAAATTAAAGAGGCACTTAGAATATTAAATGTGTTAATTTACATAAATATATATAGGAGCTGAAATTAAAAATAGAACAATTTTCTGCTTAAGTGATTGCAAAAGGAATTTATCTCCTCATCAGAGTCTTCTTTGAGAAGTGTCATTGTTTCTACCTAGAAGGCTTTAGGAACACTTGATAATGGCTTTCTGAGAATTTTTCAAGGGTTACACTGAAGTGTCTGATTCATTTATGTGCCTAACAAAAAGGTAATCAAGTATATGGCTGAGTATCATCAGAGACAAGATGATATAGGATATCTGCCATTCTGTATATACATTCTCAAGGAAGAGAGCATTTTCTGTGTAAGGGATGCAGAAAACAGGACCTGCAGTTATATATTTAAGAAACTTTGCTGTAGGTCTCTTCTCTTCTGTGGTCCTCCTTAGCTACCAGAGAATGGGATGTCTGGGCAAATAGCCTACAGTTGTTGTATTTATAAGTATCAAATTGCATTTTAGCAAGTGAATGATGCAGGAAACTTAGAAGTTTTGGAATTCCCCTTTTTTTCTTTGTTTCTGTTTTGTTTGATCATTTGAAATCTATATGTTAGAATTGTTGATGTGCAAATTATAGTGGAGGAAAAAACCCCGTCTTACAAACATCAAACCCAGCAATTTTGACCGTTATGACAATGGCATTAATTTATACTAGAACAAAAAATTACATTGGATTATGCTTCTTCATGAGATGGTAGGAAAATTGTAGGATACTGCCCCAATTTGCAGTGTATTAACATGTGAATGGGATTGTATTCCACCAATATTGCTATTGTAGCAGCCTTATTAAAACAGTGAGAAAGCGTGAGTACCATGGAAAAGTGTCCAGAATACATGAATCAGAGATGCAGGCAGACATTGAATTCTGGTCTCTTGAGTCCCTTTCAAGGACCTACCCACCAGGTCAATCCTTTTAAGTACCATGCCTGAAACTGAATCACAGAATGT